TTGGGGTTAAATTTGGATTTTTTTGGGTTAAATTTGGAGTTTGAGGAGTTTAAAGGAGATTTTTTGGGGTTAAAATTGGAATTTGAGGGGTTAAAATGGGATTTTTGGGCCGGAGGATTGAGGAGAGTTCCCGGAAAAACGGGAATTCCCGAAATTCCGTGAGTCCGGGAGGGAAGCCAAGGGGTTTGTTGGAATTTGAGGGGTTTAAAGGAGATTTTTGGGGTTAAAGTTGGATTTTTGGGTTAAAATTGGATTTTTGGGTTAAAGTTGGATTTTTGGGGGTTAAATTTGCATTTTTTGGGTTAAATTTGGATTTTTTGGGGGGTTAAATTTGGATTTTTTTTGGGGTTAAAATTGGATTTTTGGGGGTTAAAGTTGGATTTTTGGGGTTAAAATTGGATTTTTGGGTTAAATTTGGATTTTTTTGGGGTTCAATTTGGATTTTTGGGGGATTTGAGAACTTTTGGGAGGATTCTGAAACATTTCAGGGGATCTGGAACATCCGGAGCGATTTTGGGAATTTTGGGAAGATTTGGGCCAATTTTGGGAAATTTTGGGATTTTTTGGGGGTGGGGCCCCCCATGATGGCAGCACTGGGCTCTGACCCCCCCTGATGGATTCCCGTGCCCCTCCCCCACTCGGGGAGGGTCTGAGGGGGCCCCAAACCTCAAAATTTGGGAATTTTGGGGAATTTTGGGGTGGAATTAACCCTTTGTTGTTTTCTCTCCAGGTGACGCCGCCCGAAATTTGCAGGGGGGGGGAAATTCTTCTCAATAAAAATTTAAACTCGTAAAAAAAGTCTCTGGGGTTTTTTTGTGGCGGGGAAATTCCGGGATTTTGGGATTTTCAGGGATTTTATCCCAAATTTTGGATGATTTTGGGGCGGGGCCGCGTTCAACATGGCGGCGCCCATGGGGAATTTCCGGTGCGCGCTGGCAATATGGCGGCACGCTAGGGGGAACTTCCGGTTAACTCAAGATGGCCGCGCCCATTCAGTTACACTTCCGCTGTTCCGTTCTCCGTACGCGCGGCAACTTCCGGTTTCCATTCTCAATATGGCGGCGCCTATGTGGCGGATAGAGGAATACGTAAAATGGCGGCGCCCATAAACCGGAAGCGGCGAGTCACGTGGGTGGAAAAGCAACCAATCAGAGCGCAGTTTGGGGGCGGGTTCGCCATTGGCGGGAGATCCTCAGTGAGGTGAGGGCGGCCGGGGGTCCCTGAGGGGAAATTTGGGGAATTTTGGGGGTTTTTTTTGGGAATTTTGGGGTTTTTTGTGGTGTTTGGGAGGGATAATGGGATCCTGGGTGGTCCCTGCGGAGTTTTGGGGGTATTTGAGGGAAAATGAGGGAGGCGGAGGCGGCGCGGGAACCGTGAGGGGGAGGGAGAGGCTCTGAGGAGATTTTGGTGTCCCTGAGGGAGTTTTGGGGTCTCTTGGGGAGTTTTGGGGGATCCTGAGGGGATTTGGGGTCCCTGAAGGGATTTTGAGATCCATGAGGGAGTTTTGGGGGATCCTGAGGAGATTTGGGGTCCCTGAGGAGATTTCTAGGGGTTCTGAGGGAGTTTTGGGGTCCCTGAGGGCATTTTGGGGTCCCTGAGGGAGTTTTGGGGTCTCCTGGGGAGTTTTGGGGGATCCTGAGGGGACTTTGGGGTCCCCGCAGTTTTGGGGGTCCTGAGAAGTCTCTGAGGGGATTTTGGGGTCCCTGAGGGGATTTCTAGGGGTTCTGAGGGAGCTTTGGGGTCCCTGAAGGGATTTTGGGGTCCATGAGGGAGTTTTGGGGGATTCTGAGGGGATTTTGGGGTCCCTGAGGGAGTTTTGGAGTCCCTGAGGGAGTTTTGGGGTCCCTGAGGGGATTTGGGGTCCCTGAGGGAGTTTTGGGGGATCCTGAGGGGATTTGGGGTCCCTGAGGGGATTTTTTGGGGTCCATGAAGGAGTTTTAGGGGATCCTGAGGGGACTTTGGGGTCCCCGCGGTTTTGGGGGGTCCTGAGAAGTCCCTGAGGGGATTTTGGGGTCTCTGAGGGAGTTTTGGGGGATCCTGAGTAGATTTTGGGGTCCCTGAGGGAATTTTGGGGTCCCTGAGGGGATTTTGGGGGTCTCTGAGGGAATTTTTGGGGTCCCTGATTTGGGGGAGGGTCTCTGGAGGATTCCCGGGAATTTTGGGAGCTCCTGGAGGGGATTTGAGGGAAAAATTTGGGGATTTTGGGACCTTGAGGGGGATTCAGGGAAAAATTCGGGAAATTTTGGGGGGAATTTTGGGGAAAATTTGGGAATTTTGGGCAGAAATTGGGAACGTTGAGGGGAAATTTGGGGATTTTGGTGGGGATTTGGGTAAAAATTTGGGAATTTTGAGGGGAATTGGGAATTTTAAGTGGAATTTTGAGGGGAATTTTTGGATTTTGAAGAGGATGGGGATAATTTGGGAATTTTGAGGGGAATTTTGGGTGAAATTGGGGATTTTGAGGGGGAATTGGGGAAAATTTTGGTAATTTGTGGGGGATTCAGGGAATAAATTAGGAAT